TTGAAGCCTTTAGGATATTCGAACTTTTCTACATAAACTGGGTATGGATAGATGAATTTCGAGAACTTCAGCCCCTTTTTTAAGGCTGAATCGATCATTTTTTGGACCTCAATCATATCGACCGATGTTGCTTCCACTCTCTGGTTGGATTCGTCTAATCTACTGCTTGATCCTCCTTTTTTTTCCAAGTCAATTGTTTTGAGCCGAGTAGATCTTGTTTCGACCTGTAGCGGATTACTTTTGAGTGGAAGCTGGCATGACTGATCAGCAGGCCCCTTTCGAAGACTCTACTAAATAATAATTCGAGTAATTTGCTATGTGTATCACCATTACTTCGTATTACCTCGAGCAAACTGTTCATTTTTTGGATAACTGTATGTTCAACCTGCCGAGATTGCTCATCAAGTCGTCTTCAAAGAAATGATCTAGTTGGACGGTCAAAGCCTTCACCACCATATTTGTCGCAGTTTTCCACTATCCCTTCAATGAAAACACCTACAGTTCTGTTAGGGATTTCTATGTTCCGAGGCTGGGTATGAGACAAACTTCTTTTTCTCGGTGTGTCACACTTGCAGCCTCAGGTATCACAGCAACAAGAGGATTTCGTGCATGTGACACTTCTTGTCCAGGACTCTAAACTAGCAGATCAGTCGTTGACTTTCCCATGATTGTTTTCTTTTTAACCGATCGTGTTTCGACGGTCATGAACTTCGTAGTTTTAGCACTCAGTCTCACTGGGCGTGCCAAAATGTTGACCTAAAAAACTACCAAGCCTACGTGGCGCGCAAGCTGATTAACTAATGAGCTAACTACGTTCTTCAGTTGTATGCGGGTGTGCCAACTCGTCGGTCGAGCTAGGTCGGGGAGTAAAATATGTTGATATTGCGTTGAGCGCGCTGCTGACTTCTTAATCTTACGACTGCAGCTGAGGAAGGAACACGTCTCGGCCTTCGAGTTCTAGAACCTGAAGACAAGGCTGCTAGTTCTGCAAAGTTCACAAATCGTTGGCATCAGGTTCGGTCACAGTGATTATATTCGTGAGAGTATAAGCACACCGAACCAACTCCAAACTATACGGATACAAGTACTTAATGGAAATATATGTCTTGATGGTAAACATGGTTCGGTCGTTAGAATGCCGAACTTTAAACCCTACTTGTGAATAACCAATCATAAAAAACTCGGCGTTCAATGTACCGAGCCTAGTAATTTGTAACACATCACTTCGCCGAGAATGCTAATGAGATGACCTCTACCAATAAGGATTCGAAAATCCTTCTCGGCCGAGACTTGGATAGATAACCAGTCGGCCTCAACGCAGTGTTGTTTATCTAAACTGAAAGTGCTTCGTGGTCGACTGATTCTACAACGGCAGTGCTGTTTATCCAAACTGAAGATGTTCCCCGGTTGCCTTCACAGTGCTGTTTATCCAAACTAAAGATGTGTTAGCGGAAGAGAAAACGAAAAATCTCAAGGTGGTTGAGAGGTTTTGCGTAAAACGAGAGTTTAGGTAGGGCAGTTTATGTGTTTTGTCGTAGACCCTGAATGTGTGTTCATCCTCTGTATTTATATGAGTGAACCTATTTCCGGCCGAGTTAGAACCTTACCCGGACTAGGACTCCTTATCCTAATCTAACTAAGACTCGGCCAATCCTACTTTAATTAGGACTTTGAACACATCTCTACAACGAACTAGGTTCTTTCCGTGCTCCTTAGTGCCTTTAGCTTTAACACTCCTGGGGGTTTAAGGATTCATCTTTCATCTTTATCCAAATCTATCTTTCTCACAAAGGGGCTCGATTGACAAACAACTAAACAACCCCCAGTACCCAGTCGGCCCATTATCCCCCTTACTACCACTGGATCAAGAGTCTCGGCCCAAAACATTGTTTTGGACCCAAACATTGCCCCCTCGCTTATGAGGTCTTCGGGTTATAATTCCTTAACCAAATTTTGACCTTGAAGAAGTGAAAACAAACCAGGGTATGTTTTCTAAAATAATTCGAATATTCCATCTATCCGGAGCATTTATGAAGTTAAGGGACTATTTCTCCAGTTGGATTAAAGTTGAGGGACTATTGATAAAAAAAGAATCTTATTTGATTTTTCATATTTGCCCCTTGATTCAACCTCACATGACTTGACTTATTTGGACAGAAGTTCTAATGTTGATGAAAATGACCATAGTTGCACATTTTGATGAGTTGATGGACCAATGGTAATAAATTTTTAGTTAAGGGACCATTGCTCCGATTAAGTTAAAGTTGATGAATCATTACTACAATTTACTCTTTTAAATACAAAACAAAAGAGTGTGAAGGGAAAGAAAGAGAGGAAACCGATGATTGAGAAATGGGATACTTTTTACCAAGGGGTATACTATTCACACACCTCTTTAAACTTCTCATGCACCTTTTATTAATTTATGTATTTTGATTTTCTTTAATTTAATCGATCCGACAATCATACATTAAAAAAATGTGTAAGAAGTATGCGTGGATAGCACAACCCTTCTACCAAATTTCATGCGGTGCTTAATTATCCATAATGTGATAACAATATCGATGATTGAGACCGATACTTGATTAATATACGATACCCTCAAGGTTACTGGATCCCATTGAAGAACCCGTTGTTGTCAAATTAAGGCACGATGGTAGATGGAGGGCTGTACGTATAATGGAGATGCCAAAACGTGAAAATAACTTAAAGACAAAAAAAACTAGGGTACGTGTCCATTGAAGACAAGTAAATGAGTGCAAAGTGAGATGAATTCAAAGACCCTATCCAAAAGAAATGTTAAAATTTAAACATAAAATTTAAATTTGAAGACTCATGTGGCACATTGATCATTTTTTAAATTTTGTTTTCTAGTTGATATGTTAAATTTAAACTATTATTTAATACATTATTTACTTTTTATAGTTGTAAATAGTATTTTTAAAATAAAAGATAAGACTAAAAATTATGAAATGCATTAATTAATTACTAAAAATAGAAGTTGCTGTCAAATTTGACAGCAACTTCCTCTGTTGCCATTCCATGTCATGCCATATAAGAATTGACATTTTGGTTAGAAAATACTAGTGATGTCTTTTTTTACCGTTATTGCTAATGTGAACATTTTGACATCTCATTTGAAGATGCTCTAATCTATTCACGTCAGAGCATCTCCAAAGAGATGTCAAAATCGTATGTGGAATGCAACTGTGCATATTTGACATAAAAAATCTATCTAACCAAATTGTTATTTGCTGACCCAATCTGAAGACTCTGTGATTAGGAGTCAAATTTGACATCAATGTCAAATTTATTTTTAATTCATTTTAATGGTAGGTCTCTTATTCCACTAACATTTCAATCTATGAAAACTTTGTTTCAACAATATTTTAGTAATTACAACAATTTAAAACTCTATTTACATAAGAAAATAACATTTGACAATTCGGTTGAAGAAGTACAAAATTTGACATAAGACTTCAGATTGTTACATCAATCATCAATTGTAATTTGACTCTTCCTATGAAGATGACCTCAAAACATCTAATTTAAAGAGGTAATACTAGAAATATCATTTATTTAAATAACTTTTAATAAATTATATGACATTACTCATTCAAATTGTCGGCCATTAACGGATCGACTAATTTAGGTGAGGGAAAGGGCAAGGATGTACATGTGCCCTTGAAGTCCAATAATGAAATGTTTTAAAGCAACGTATTAATTCTGCATAGAATTAGAGATGGGAAAACGACATGAACATCAATATCCATTCATATTAAATTATGTTCCATAAGAGGGTATGTGACAACAATTTGCACCCCCCTTTTCGTTATGTTAGGTCCCCATTTCTCATAATTTCTTCCTTATCCATACGTAGCTCAGGCAATTAGCCATGGCATGGGTCCTTAAGATGTGGAGTAATGATATATATATATGAAATGTTATCTACATGCATATGCACGTAGATGTAGTAGGTGATTTCATTTTGACAAAAGAATGAACTTTGTACATGGTATCGTCGAAGATTTTTTTTTACAAGCAACGATAGAGTGATTTCATTAATTCGAATTGAACAAATACACAAGGGTGTTATATGAAAACATCTTCTTCAATGATCAATCTCTTGGTTTGAAGATTAATTTGCGCAACTAACAAATAAGTTAAACATCCTACAAGGTACTGCAAAACTACCACAAGAGCTAAGTGCAAACAATACAAGATGATAAACGCGACAAATTCAGCACCGAAAGCATACACAACATCAGCGCTAAAAGCGTGACCACATCAAACCACCGATATAACAGCGAGGCCACAAAAACCCACTGGAGCGTTACAACCTTGCTAAGCGGCACAACACAAAACATAAATAGAACCTAAAACTAAAATCCGCCTAATCCGAGAAAGGACCACCAATCAACTTTTCTCCATTACACTCAATTCTTTCTCTCCACTTTTCTTCTACTTACATTCTTAGGAAATACATAACATTGGATTTCAAGTCCTCGATATAGGCATAAAAAAAAGAATATAATTATAACCAAATCAGCATCTCATTCGGTGCTCTATCACTTTGATTAAGGAATCAGATCTAAGCGTAAACCTACAAATCACTAAGCAAACATTGTCTATTGGTAGCCTCCAATAGTGGCATGTCTATTTTGAATACTTTCTCATGAGCTTCCTATGACACAGAGAATGAAAACAACACTCGAGGTAAATCATGTGTTAACCTAAGTTCGACTCTGTCCCATTTTTGACACCAACAAGTACCTTATTTTAGATGCCTATGGAATAGGATTGTTGGCTAAGAATATAACAAGACCACATGCTTCTACATGCCCAGACCAAACATGAATTGACTAAAATAAAGAGTCTCCCCCTTTGAATACTAAGAATCATTTTCACATCAACGACATGTGATTTATTGGTGGATACATAAATTCGCAGACTTGATTTACCGATGTTTGGCCTTGTGAGTATAAGATATTGCAATGCGCTTACAATAATTCCATATTGCTCTAGACTCTCATATGGTCTCTACCATCATCTTTCAAAAGCCTAATTTAATGTAAGCAAGGGGTTGCACAAGGTTTACTAGCTGAGAGATCATCCTTTTACAACAATGGTTTTTCAAATGAGAGATCATGCTTAAAAAAGTAAGCTCTCTCTCACTCCTACAAATCAGGTAACAACTCAGCCACTCACTAACTAATTTAATTACAACGTTAAGCTTGGCATTGTGACAACTTTTCTTACACTCTCTTCTTTGTTGGAAATGTGGTTTATTCTCATTCTCAAAAGTGGGTACGTAGTGTTCGTCTAATTTTTATAGAACTTAAAAGGAAAACATGGACATGCATTTACAACAGTCCATGAAAAGTTCCTAAAAGTAGGGGGATATGAGGGAAATACATGTGTAATTATAAGTATAAAGGGTAATGTTAAGGAGACTAAAATTCAAATTGTGCAAATCAAATGATATGGTTATTGATGATTTGATTATTAATTAAGTGTCGATTAACGTATTTATTTCCTATTGGTGACACATCATTTGGTTTTCAAATTTGATTTAAAGATTTGGTCTACCTAGGGAAACTAAATTTGTAGACTAAATTTTGTAAACTAAATGACATGGAGTTGATAATTGGATTATTACTTAAGCATTGATAAATGTGTTCATCCCTATTGGTAACACATCATTTAGTTTGCAAAATTTGCCTATTAATTTAGTCTCTAATATTACCCAATTACAATATGTGATGGAATTAGAATAAGGATATATAATAGGGAGATTCAATTTTTAAACTAAATGACGTGTCACTAATAAGAAACAAATACGTTAATCGATACTTAATTAATAATCTGATCATCTACATCCATACCATTCGATTTGCAAATTTGGTTTAAAAAATTTGGTCTCCCTAACATTACCCTTAGAATAATCTGTTAAAGATTTAAGTCCCTTAAATTTTAAGAAGAAGATAGATAATCTGCTTAACCCTAATTGATAGATAATCTGCTTAACCCTAATTAAATGTGGGCAGTTGATTGTCCACAATTTTGATACTAGAGCTGTACTTATGCATGAAACTTTTTCGTTTTCTTCTTCAAACTACTGCATTTCAAATACAAACTCTCATTTATTCTCTTGTTAAATCAAGGTAGTATTATTCTGACAATAAGAATAAAATTTCTCGTAGTTAATTAGTTAATTATTCTCATCCTGTCTACGCAAATTTTGATCTTATACTTTCGTTGTAGTCGGGGATGCTTTGAGTATCGTTTATGAACTATAAAGGATAGTACATAGTCAGGTATATTGTGCAATCAAGATTTGTATATTAGTTAGAATTTTCTTTAGGTATATTGTGCATTCAAGACTTGTATACCCATCTTAGACCTGGCAGTTTCTGACACGACACGAAAACAACATGAAAATAACGGGTTTCGGGTCAACACCATAACTAATCGGGTTATTATTGGGTGACCCATTAAGAACCCGTTAACGGGTATACACGTGGGTAACATATGGGTAACCTGTTTAGACCCGTTAAGAAAAAAATTATTTTGATAATTTTAAAGTTTAATTACTAAAAGATTTATTATAAAATACAATAGCCATATTAATATATACAATATATTCTATATTAAATATATAGTTTTGTATTATTATTCTATATAAGTTTTTTTTTTTTTAAGTTTTAGTCATTATTTATTTTTATTATGAGAGTTCCTTATTATCATTACTAGGATAAATTTTACTTAACATGTTGTTTCCAAAATTAAAATAAGGGAGACGTTGGATGCAGTCCTTAGTTATGAATATTCTTTGATTGAAATCTTGTTGGTTTTAATTTTTGATCGAGGTCCCTAAAATTAATGTGATAATTTATTTCTATGTACGTTACTATATTTTTTAAATTAAAAATTAGAAATTTTAGATGTTTATATAAATGAGATTTTAAATTAAAAAAACATAATTTGTGGGATTAAAAATATTAAAATATAAATATACTATTGTGTGTGTGTGTGTGTGTGTGTGTGTGTGTGTGTGTGTACATGGGTACATTCATCAAAATTAACCAAAAAAATTATTGGATTAAAACATGGGTACATTCTTCAAAATCACAACAACAAAAAAACAAAGATATTAGGCTTAATAACATTAATAAATTTCTTCGATTAAACTTGACATGGATACATTTTAAAATCAAAGAAAAAAGAATGTACCCATATAAGTTTAAAAATGGATTAGAAAAAACTTGAATAGATTTTATATACAAAAAAAAAGGTACATTTTACATATAACAAATAGGTATATTTAAGAATGAGTATATTTTAAGATTAAAAAGTTTTACATGAATGGGTACATATAATTAGCAGTGGTACATTTAGCAAAATAAAAAGTTCCGATAAAAAAAATATATGGGTACAAATACAAATAAACTTTAAAAAATATGGGCACAAAAATAAATTAATGGGTACAAATTAAAACTGAAAGGAAAATTGGTACAAGTTAAAAAAGAATTACAAATTAAAAATGGGTACAAACTAAAAACTAAAAATATATGATAAAAAATTTAGTCATAAATATAAATATACTAATTGTAACATTTTTAACATTAAATGATTATATTTAGAAATAAAAAAATATTTTATTATTGCAATAATTAATGATGTTATTAATACCCAAGGACATTGATTAAAAATTGAAAATAAATAGGATTTTAATCAATGGAGTAGCAAAAAAAAAGGATGAGAACCTAACTTCTCCTTAAAATAAACCAGTATAGTATTTGTATAGGCAAGAACTAAGAAGACATACATACAAGTATGAAAAAATGTGAAAGAATATATAAACACTAGTGATTCATCATTATTCCTCCACAAGTAGATAATGGTTACAATTACATTATTGTTTAGATTTTTCAAATCCTCCAAACCCTTATGAATAATGTTTTTTATTTGAGGGAAAAATTAATAAAATTAATAATAATTATTGTAGAAGTGTAAAAAATGTAAAAAAAAAATATACAATCACTCATAGTGACAAACTTTACAACTTTCATGAAGGGGTTAGCTTCGAAATCCAACACTATAATTCATAAACCTTAAATTTATACTTAACCGTCAATTGTCATTTAGCTTTATTCTTCTTACTGAATTTCATTTTTTAAATTTTCTTTTTTTTTTAAACATGATCATCTGGCGGATGTAAGAAGATGAACGGTTCAGATCTTTGATATCACATTTCGATATTTATGGTTAACTGAAATATGAGTTTAGGTCATATAGTTTGTAGAAATGTTATAGACATCAAGCAATATTTTTACTAACCATAAAACTCTAAACATAATATCAATGATCCAAACCGTTCATCTTCCTGCATCCTCTAATATATCATATTTTCAAAAAAGAAAATCTGAAAAAGAAAAAAAAACAAAATTTGATGAGAAAAATGAAGCGTAAATGTAAACAACAATCAGCGGTTAAATTTGATACATGATTTATATGATTATAGTGGCGAATTTCAAAGTTAAGCTTTTCACAAAGTTGTAAAGCTTGTCATTACGAGCGTTTATATATTTTTTTTCTATATTTTTTTTACACTTCTACATTAATTAAAAAACTATTAAAGACTTTACTTAAATAACAACCGTAAGATAAATGAGAGTAAATATGTACTATTGGATTCTGTTTCACTTATATTATTAGAACTTTTTTGGACAAATAAAAACCCCTTCTCTATTCCATTATTTTCCAATTTTACCATTTGATCAAAACAAAAGCCCTAATCCCTTTCTCTCTCCCCACTTTTGTAACCCTCTCCTCTTCGGCAACACCACAGTTGTCGACGACACTGCTATCGTAAGTCTACTTCTCCAAAAATTGAAAAGCTGGGATTGGGTCCATTGGGATTGGGATTTCAATATGAGTAGGCAATTTTGAATTTAGTTGGAATTTGGATCAAGAATTGTGTTTTCAGATTTGGGTTTTTTTTTTCTTCTAGTTTTTGTTAAGGTTTCATGTTAATTGATGCTTAAATCTGCCAAATCTAAACCTTTGATGTTAATTTATGCTTAAACCTGCCAAATCTAAACTTAGTCCTTCCCAAATTGGGATGTATTGGGATGTATGTAGTTTAATGTATTTGGAGGTATGTAATTCTAATGTGGGTTTTCGATTTGAATTGGATTGTAGTTCTTGAGCTAATTGTTATTTGGATTTCATTCTTCACGCAAGGCATTTTCTCATTCTTTTCATTTGAATGTCAATATTATACTGAAAATGATCCTTTTTATCAAATAATTAGACTTTCTCTTATAATATATTTAGCATCAGCAACAAATTATAAGGGAAAAGTGAAGTACCTGTAGAGAATACGCAGAGAAGGCTCCAGGAAATTGCTCAGCCATGATATCCATGGCTGCAAGAAATGCCACAACTTATTCATAATTTCGTACCAAACAACGATTAGGATATAGTAGGACAAAGCTTAAGCAAACTGAGGTAGACTGTGAGTTCTTGAAGAAGTTATATGAAACACTAACAGATTAAACCAACCTTTGTACATGCATATGCCAACAACCACCCTCACTATGTGTCCATCTTGTGAAAGAATCGGATGTGCGGAAGAAAATATGTAAGGTTCCAATGTCCTTAATTTTGTAAATATTTTGAACATTTGATATTTTGTAATGTTCTAATTTTTTTTGTTATGCTCTTATTTTGGGTATATAAATATATACTTAAAACAAAAATACGTTTTTATATTTTGGATGTGATAATACGGTATGTATATACTTATTTAGTATTATGTTTTTCATTTGATTATTTATTGGTTTAAAATATATTTTCCTTAACGGGTAACGGGTCGGGTCATATTACCTGTTAATAATATCGGGTCGATTTCGGGTCAAGTCATTTTACCTGTTTATTTTAACGGGTGTTACACAACACGACCCGTCAAGATATCGGGTATGACACGAAAACAACACGAACACGAAAAATAAGACACGAATGCCAGGTCTCCCATCCAATCCTATCCCAACTAAAAAGATGACATTCCCAAAAAATTGGTAAACAACAGATGTCCCAAGTCTCCTTAATTATAACCAAGGAAGAAAAAATCGACAATATCGGCGATATTTCGCCGATATTATCGTTTTTTCGAAAGTTCAATATTTTTTTAACTATCCACAAGGAAGAAAAAATCAATAATATCGGCAATATTTCACCGATATTATCGTTTTTTCAAAAGTTCAATATTTTTTTAACTATCCAAATGATTTCCGTCAAAATATCAATAATATCGCAATATAATATTAAAAAATACTTAAAAATGTTGAAAAATCTCAACACATACTACACTTGATCATAGCCCAAAGGCCAACCAAGATATGCTTTTCTTAGCTTGGGAATGTGGGTTTTAAAGGCATTCTTGCTTGCTCGCTGCCCTCACATGGGCGATGTGGGACTCAACCAAGGAAGAAAATAGGAATTTCGGCCGGAAATCCACACCCACTTTAAACGGCCATAACTTTGTCAAAACTCAACAAAATCAAGCAAGACAAAAACGAAAGTTGTAGCCCTCGAAGAGACGAAGAGAATGGTACCTCACAAGACGTCTGAATTGTCGTGGTTTGGCCGGCAAATTCCTTGAAAGTCACCGAGGTCGCCGGAAACTGGGTAAGATTCAAATGAGTATAACTTTTTCAATACTCAACGAAATTGAATGAAACAAAAAGGAAAGTTGTACTACTCGATGAGACGAAGAGATTGATACCTTGCACGCCGGCCAACTCGCCGTGGTTTGGCCGGAAAACCAGTGTCAAATTCGGCACATTATTCTTTATCATTTTATTCACTTCCCTTTTTTTTTTTTTAATATCCTAAATAAAACCTCCAAATATTGTACTAATTAATTATATATAAATGATTGTGGTGTGTTTAAACTTCTTTCATTAATTACTACATATTTTCTACACTCACAATGTTTGCCAGCTCGCTATATAATCAACTTAAATCAGTTAAATCCATCATGCAATGCATTTCATTCCAATTTTTTGTGATAAACTAATAGATAATTGACTAAATAAACATCCTGCAAAGTTCCATTAAAAATTTCCAAGCTTTTCTTACAATTTCCGTGGTTTCCATGTAATTTTTATCGATATCGATATTATCCCAATATTTCCATCGATATTTCTGTGTTTTCGGACTACCGATATTTCCGATATTACCGATATTTTCTTCCTTGATTATAACATAACATATAGTCTCATTTTCTTTGAGAAAATTGCCCGAGAACATTCATTGTATTTTGTGCCTTGTGGTGAAATATGGACTTGGATTGTCTGCCCTCTAATTGTGGTGCCCTCCCCGTGCCTCCTGTTTTTGTGGTCACGGTTAAGCCACGTCAACATTTTATATTACTATTTCTTTTTGTTTTATTATTTTTATAAAAAAAATAATATAAAATATTGACGTGGCTTAACCGTGACCACACAAAACAGGAGGGCACGGGAATGGCACCGAAATAGGAGGGCAGACAATCCAAGTCCGTGAAATATGAACTATTTGTGAAGTAATTTTTAGTATATTTTTACTCCTTATTTTGGACATTTTAAACTCAAAGTTTACCAGTTTAATAAATTAATTAATTATGGCCGCGTCAAAATTGTCCAGGAAGTTGAATATCTGCCGGCACATGGAAACTTGGTAAACAATGTAGTTTGGCAGCAGCCAGCTGATGTTTATTAAATGTTGAAGTCTGGAGAGCCAAAGGCTTCCTAGCTAATCTCAACAACAAAATCCTCAACCGTTTGTGGAATCATTCATATGGGTATGATTGATTTCAAGTTATCTGTTTCTTGAGAGAGAGAAATGACAGATTGTCTTTTGGCAAATAATACGTGTGATTGACCGACGGAGTGAAAGAGAATGAGAGTTTGGTTAATGTTGATATCTACCACATGGAAACTTATGCAATATAGAATTCCATGAGTCCAGTTTCGTGCATCTCTATGTGCACAGACATACTCAAACTACAACACACACACACACACCAAAAGAAAAAAAAGTACAAACGGATAAGTTAACAAAGAAACGCTTGTTTTTTAGCTTATTGAAGAAAAAGTAAGCAATCTAGTAAAAAGTAAAAACTGGAATCAGAAAAAAGAAAAAAAGTGGAAGGTGATAAAAGATTAGGTGAATCAAACAAACATAAAGGTTTGGTCGCCGAACTACTATTATAGTCTTACTCTCCTCTAGCTTAGGGCAGCTAAAAAAAACTAAGATTCGAGAGTTTGTTGTCGAGCTACTAGTATAACCTATACCTTCTTCTTGCTCATAGTAATTAGAAAGAATCAAACTCGTAATAAAGTACCTCTCGTCTCCTTCTACTCCTAACCAGTATCTTCGAACAAAACATCATGAATTGAAGCAGAAGGTTCCTCGGATGGGCTTCTAACATCACCTGATACAAAGCAAAACGAGCTAAACGGTGGACCTTTGGGTAAAGGTCCCAGCATTTACTTTCAAGGAGAGTACAAAAGTAGAAGTAATATATTCAGTTCTAATTTGAATTGTTGCTATTTGCTGCAAAGTAGTTGCTATTAACTTGTTGCAAATATGCCTTGTAAATCTAAGCCAATTAACTCTCCTTCTTGTCACTTACTCACAAGTGTTTAGGTTATATTCAGTTCTTAATTAATTAGTATCCTAGTTATTAGTGATCGAATTGAGATATATGAAATTCACTAATTAAAATTTCGCATAAAAAAGCATATAGAAATTAGTTGTAATACGTGTTTACTTGACCGCGAATGAAAGTCAACCCAAATAAAGAGGCAAGCTTATTTACCAGAGAAGTGAGTCATAAGCCGAGCTTTAATGAGCAAGGAGGCCGGCGCCTATAAACTGAAAAATAGGCCAATTCAATGTAAAATGTTGGTGTTGGCATCCACCTCCAACTACTCCCACCAACTGCCCCTAATTTATACGCCAAAAAAATCTCTCTCTATCTCCATCTATATGCATATGTATAATAACTTTGAACTCCAAATTTTCTATAATTGAAAAAAAAAATAAACTTATGAAGAGTGTAAAATGAGATTTTTTGAAATGCAAATAATAATTTTCTTTAATTAACCTCTTCACTAATTATTGGTATAATAGTCTAATCGTCCTTCTCTTTACTTTTAAGTACGATATTACATTATTATTCTTCCGTCCTTGTGTAAAATGTTGTTGTATTGAAAAGAAGAAAAAAAAAAGGGTGTGATATCCACACACCCTTTTTTACTTCTCACACACCCCTCTAATTTTCGGCCGTCGGATCGGATGGATTGAAGAAGATCAACGAACATGAATTAACAAAGAGTGTGTGAAAAGTAAAATAGGGTGTGTGGATAGCACATCCCAAAAAAAAAACTCCACTTGGAATTCCCCAAATTGAGGAGAAAAAAAATTCAATCAACTCAATCGCTTAACATTTTGCAACCACATAATATTTTCATGGCAATATAGGAATTAACATCATGGCCAACTTTCTCTCCTTCCTTTTTAAACCCCTTCTCCTACCTTCCTCTCCATAACATAAATCTCAAACACCCCCCTCCCTCTAAAACAAAAACTCACAAACCCACCTAATAAGCTTTCTCTCCTTCCCCCTCCCTCCCTCTCTCTCTCTCTTGTTGCCATGGGGCCACAGCGTCGTTTCCAGCCGATTTCGAGATGTAACACCGAGGGAAGATCAAACCAAACCGTGGCAGCAGACCTTGATGGCACACTCCTTGTGGCACGCAGTGCCTTCCCATATTTCATGCTTGTAGCTATTGAAGCTGGTAGTCTCCTAAGAGGCCTAGTTTTATTACTATCAGTCCCATTTGTCTATTTCACCTACTTGTTTTTCTCAGAGTCCATAGCAATCAAAACCTTGATCTTCATTTCCTTTGCTGGTCTCAAAATGAAGGACATTGAGATAGTGTCACGCTCCGTGCTTCCGAAATTTTACGCCGAAGACGTTCACCCGCAAACCTGGAAGGTGTTCAACTCATTCGGAAAGCGTTACATAATCACAGCAAACCCTAGAATTTTGGTTGAACCTTTTGTCAAGACTTATCTAGGAGCTGATAAAGTTCTTGGCACTGAGTTGGAAGCAACAAAATCTGGGAGGGCAACTGGGTTTGTGAGTAAACCAGGTGTTCTAGTTGGAGAGCACAAAAGAGAGGCGGTTCTCAAGGAGTTTGGTACAAACTTGCCTGATTTGGGACTGGGAGATAGAGAGACCGACCATGATTTCATGTCCATTTGCAAGGTATATTATAAAATGAAATTTTCAGTACTCACTATTAATTTCTTTTTTTTGATTTTTTTATTAAGAGCTGTTATTTATATTCCTAAAAAATTATTCTGCCCTCAACCATATTAAAACAGAGCGAAAATTTTGTATTAAAAAAATGCACGATAATATTTTAGAAGTGCCGATAACATTATCCTTTATTTTTTTTATTTCTATTCTTATTGTTGTGAGCATTTAAGGTTGAACTTCGTGAGCTGTTTGTTAGCTGAAATAAGGGGTACAAATTAAAAAGGGTCACTGCCCATTCACCTAGATTTATTACAAGTTTGGTGAGAACCTTAGTATCAACCAATATGATGAGTTACTTAGTTACTATACAATATCCATGCAGTTTTGAGAAATGTTTCGGTGTGCCAGAAACACGGTTTGGTACATTATGTGTTATAATACAAGTAGTTGTAATTTTTTTTTTTTTAAGTATCCAACCACTTGCATTATGATACTAGGTGTACCGAACCGTGTTTCCGGCACTCTGCATTTGGAGGAACGATTTTAACCTCTTGTAGCCTCTCATTGTCTTTTTGTGAGTTTTTTGGGTACCATTTATCCCCATGCTTTTTAACTGGTATTCTGATTCTTTTAACCTTGATTTCTAATTTGGACAAGGATTGTCTACCCTCCCACTTCCGGTGCCCTCCCGTGTCCTCCTGTTTATATGGTCAAGGTTAAGCCACATCAACATTTTATATTACTATTTATTTTTGTCTTATTATCTCTCTAAAAAATAATATAAAATGTTGACGTGGCTTAACTGTGACCACACAAAACAGAAGAACACAGGAAGGCAGACAATCCTTGTCCTTGTCCTTCTAATTTGTGACTTGTAAAGCACAAAAATCATATTTATTTCACATTGTGTCCAACTGACAACCCCCATACGCTCTTCATGCCCCAACCCACTCTCTTTATTCAATTCAATTAAGTCCCACATGAAACAGTTACTTAGTTAGCGCAATCCTTGTGACTTCCCAAGCTTCCTTTCACCACAAGTTGTATATCCAGTTAAAAAAGTAGTTTTCAGCACTCTATATATGTGACGCCCAATTTGTCTGAAGACAAGACAGTGTAAGATGACATTTTTTTGGAATATTGTAAAACTCTTTTAAGTATTATTTTAATGCAAGTATACATTATTGGACCATGTTTGATCATATTAATCGCATTACCCTTTTTTTTTCTTTTTTTTTTATCCCAACTAAGTTCTGTTCAATGACAATTTGACTTAAAATTCTTCTGATGTTAACCACATGAGTCAAAATTTTCAGAAACTAAATTCCCGTTTTAAACTGTGTTGACTTGTTAATTGCAGGAAGGTTACATGGTCCAAAGGACTAGATGTGAGCCGCTACCAAGAAACAAGCTTCTCAGTCCAGTCATATTTCATGAGGGCAGATTAGTCCAGAGACCTACCCCAATAGTTGCTCTATTGACTTTCCTATGGATGCCGATTGGTATCCTCCTCGCAGTCCTCAGAGTCTACACCAACATCCCATTGCCTGAGAAAATTGCAAGATATAACTACAAACTCCTAGGGATTAACCTTATAGTTAAGGGCACCCCTCCCCCTCCGCCCAAGAAAGGTCATAGTGGGGTCCTATTCATTTGCAACCACCGTACGGTCCTAGACCCCGTTGTCCTGGCAGTTGCCCTAGGAAGAAAAATCAGTTGTGTCACATATAGTATTAGCAAATTTACAGAACTAATTTCTCCGATTAAGGCCGTGGCTTTGTCAAGGGAGAGAGAGAAGGACGCGGCGAACATCAAGCGTTTGCTCGAGGAAGGCGACTTGGTGATCTGCCCAGAAGGCACTACGTGCAGGGAGCCGTTTCTGTTGAGGTTTAGTGCGCTATTTGCTGAGCTCACTGATAGAATTGTGCCTGTTGCAATCAACACAAAACAAAGTGTATTTCATGGGACAACGGTTAGAGGACACAAATGGTTGGACCCTTACTTCGCGTTCATGAATCCGATGCCGACGTACGAGATTACGTTCTTGAACCAGCTCCCGTCGGAGCTCACTTGCAAAGGTGGGAAATCTGCCTTTGAAGTTGCAAATTATATCCAGAGGGTGTTGGCTGGAACTTTAGGGTTTGAGTGCACAAATTTAACTAGGAAAGACAAGTATAGCATACTTGCAGGGACAGATGGCAGAGTTCCATCATCCAACAAGGAAAAAGAAAGGGAAAAGCAAAAGCAAAAAGTTTAATTAAGCATGGGATCAAGTTAATTTTTATTTTTAATCACCTCCATCATGAAGATGATGAATTCTCTATTGTTTTCCAATATGTTCAAGGTTTATTTTTTCGCATAACAATGAAACTGATTGTGACAAATCCCATAAAAAGTATATTACCATATTATACCTTATTATTTTTATGCAAGTGTACATTACACTAGCACTTTCATATATGGTGGTGGTGGCAAGGGCAGGACCTAGTTAAGATGATTAGGTGACTACCTGGCTGGTATAAATGTGAAATATAAGGCACTTGCCTCGTAAAAAAAGCCAACTTCAAAACATAGAGACAAAATTATGAACACCTGGAAAACTGGAAAACTAAAAGGTTTGTTCCTGACGTTTTACAGTACCCAATTATGTTTGGTGGAAGAGCAACCTAACTAGCATCATTCCAGAAATGTAGTGAAGGAGGCCCGGCCTTCTCCATGAAAGTTTGAGAGTAAAATTTTCTGACCATGTAAGGCAGTTTCAAATTAATTAATTTGGTGACCATCTAAAAATAAGCACATGATTCGTGTGTTGAAAACTATTTAGCCTGAATATGTAGGTAAACATTAGCTGATGGAATATGCCTTGATATCGTGGAGATCATTTTGAGAAGCCTTATTTTCAGACGTGTCCTAATACTCATTACGAAATCTCATACCTTTTGCATTTTATTCTATCTCACTTTAACCTCAGCAGTATCTCACGTTATCCCATTTTGTCAACTGGGTTGAGAGAAGGTTAGTTTGGTTGAAATGGAAGAGGTTCTTTTATTTTGGCAGTGAATATAAGGATAGGTTAGAAGGGAATTTGGCTTAATTTTGTCAGAGTTTTTGGTCTTTTTATGTCTTCACGTATGATGATTTTTGTAGTTTCAAATGTTACAAATGCGAAGATGTGTTGAAAGACCAAAAAACTTGCCACACAAGCTAATTTGTTACTAAAAACAAATTAAAAACTTTAATATCTTAAAACTCAAAACCCTCTATATTCGCATAAATATGCAAAACCTATATTTTGGCGTCGAAACACCTTCGTCGTTTCTATCGCTCAACTCCCATCCTGTGAAACTCGCTAGCCTAGCTACCATCTAGCCTAATACACTGGAGGGAAGAATAACTCATCGAGACACGAGAATGATGGAGAGAGTTGGACTGAAATCAACCATTAGGCAGCAGAGATTCGGCTAGAGTACTGTGTTTTCCATGACTTTCATCACCTTAACGGTTAGGGTTTTTAGAACATTTAGGGTTTTGTGTTTTGGTTACTCTAATTAATCACTTCAGTTCTTATTTCCACAGTATATATATATACTCCTTGATCATCTGACTCCATTGTTCACAGAGTAGGGATCGATAGTACTTTCATATTGTGTGTATATGACCATGTATTTCCTACATAGGATCAACAATATATCAATATAGACGATCACTATATGTTCAGTTCTTGGTATATACAGGCAAATGAGAGAGAAATTTCTACTAATTAAGAAGCTGGTCCTATATTTCAACGTGGTATCTGGTACTACTCAACTAACAAATTGGTTAATTAATATAAGCCTCCATATATGCTTTTAGGAGGGTGAGTGAGACGAATCACCCAGCTCGATCAGTTGTCCCTTTCTAATCTTCATTGCATGAGCAGCAGCGCATGTGTGCCATGGGGACCATATCTTTTAGGGTTAGTGTCTCTCCTTTTATATACTTAAATTTTACCAGCTCGATCAATCTTGTTCGTCCAATTAACTTAGGGCTTTCGGATTGACATATGGTATTGGTACACTAATACCGTGTTTGTTTCATGTCAATGATACAACGTTAGGTAAACCTAAACTTACACATATTTTTGTATAACACAAGACATTATTATAACGGTATACATGTGCTATATAAGTCATTCTCCCAATACGTACTAGCTATAAGACAACACGTGGTTTGACAAGGTGTAATTCATAGTGGTAGCTAGCTTCTTTTATATGTATTTTGTGTTGGAAAATATTATTATTTAGATTTATTTTAATGTTTGGTATTTTAGGCTTAGCCCGTTAGTATTAGGGTTTCGTTTCCTTGCCTATTGGGGTTAGGTTAGTTATATATATATATATATATATATATGGTACTTTGTAACTCTATAGAATAACAAGTTATTCACAATGTAGTCTCTTAGGTTTTTTTGTAGCCGTTCCGGCATTCTCGTTTATTTAATAATATTCCTATTATTTTGTTAGTCTTGTTCGTTGCGCACTCTGATATTCAACTTGGTATCAGAGCGGGTTCGATCCTTAGGGTTCAATCCGTTCGCGTTGGTATCAATTTGTTTGCCTTTGTCGTCGTTCGTTTTAGATTTGTTAGTTGGTATTGATTGTTTGCAAGGAAAAGAAAAATGAAAGAGAAAAAAAATAGGTTTTGCTTGCAGAGGAGAAGATCCCCTAGCAAATAAAAAAGGGGAAGAAGGAGAAAAGAAGAGAAAAAAAAAACCACGGAAAGGAAAAAGAAGGAAAAAGGTGCGATGTTGCACCTCTTCGCCCATAAAAAGAGAGAAAAAAGAAGGAAAAAGAAAAAAAAATTGTTTGGAGTTTTTGAGGCCCCCACACGGGCAAAGAAATTTTTTTTTTTTTTTTTTTTGTTTGCTCAGGTTTGTTTGGAAGCTCACAATTCGCATTGGCATTGGTATGCATCGGCATCGGCATCGGCATTGGCACTGGAATTTGGAGTCTTGCATCCACATCTACTTTGGCAAACCCATGTCGTGTACCGCCATGAGTTTGACGGGGGGTGTTGGAAAATATTATTATTTAGATTTATTTTAATGTTTGGTATTTTAGGCTTAGCCCGTTAGTATTAAGGTTTCGTTTCCTTGCCTATTAGGGTTAGGTTAGTTATATATATATATATATGGTACTTTGTAACTCTATAGAATAACAAGTTATTCACAGTGTAGTCTCTTAGGTTTTTTTGTAGCCGTTCCGGCATTCTCATTTATTTAATAATATTCCTATTATTTTGTTAATTTTATTCGTTGCGCACTGATATTCAACTTTTTGAAACTCCAATAGTATATCTGGCCTGCCATGGCTGCTGGGACCTTGCCCACATTTCGTCACTAATGCGTCTTAAATTTCACGTGCTTTCCATATCCATATACCAAACTGAACATATACTGACCGTCTATATTCATGGGCACCTCATCATAATTCATACATATACTTTAGTTATTCGACCCATGATAATAATAGAGGAGTAGTAACTCATCATAATTAGGGAGGAAGAAGTACTTACTGCTGAACTTAATTAGCCATGCATTCGATAAACTACAGTTCAGTAAGTAGTCGTAGCACTACTACAGAAGAGGCAGCATCTGGCAGAGGTTCCCAAAACAGTAAGGTTTCTGTGAGTTTCCGAACGTACTGTTTTTATTCATGTATATATGGTATTGGTGACTTAATTGTTTAGCATTCATTTGTAAAACCTTGTTTGAATGACAATGAGATTACAACTGGACTACTTGGATGGCGCTTAACCAGTTGTAATGGTTATGTGAAACACAAGGAGTCTGAGAACCTTAGTACGATAAGAGTCGTGGAGTTTATATGTTGCAGCTGTTCTATTTTGATTCTTATCAGTATATACTATTATATAGAGTCATGATAGGACTAAAACTTATTAAGAGATAGAGATCATCACTCTTTCTGATAACAGGCTGGACCGAGTGAATCTCTAGCTATATGAGTGGTTATATAAATAGTTGGAGTCCCTGCTTCCTCACACACGCTCTTCAATATATCTAAAACCCTATTCACTTAGAGAGGAGTATTTCAAGTGTTGGAAGTAGAAGACTTCTTCTTTTGTTTCTCAATGGCGATACCTTCAGGTAAGTTGATCTCTCGGTTTATAAGTTTTTGTTTCTCCAATTTTAGTGATTTTGGTATTCAATGGTAATCCGAGTTGTGTTGGTTAGCTACGTTGTTGTAGTTCACTTATTTATATACTGCTTACATGTGGTATCAGAGCCAACCCAACATGGCTAGGGTTCCTTATTCTGTACATCGTTAACTCTCGATATTAATGATCTATATGTTTTGATCCTGTATCATTTAATACTTCCGCTGCATACTGACAATTAAATCTGGATGATCATTAAACAATCAAATATTACCATGTACTCCTCCAATTGTGTTTGCTATCTTGTGCTGAGAACATCATTCAAAGAACAGTTACAATACTGGGAACTCAATCAAGAAGAGACCTTTCGGATTCATATTATTTGTCAAAAGTCAAACTGATAAATAAGATTTGAATCATAAACAAGGATTTCAACAACTAATCTGCTCAAAAGTGTTTAGTTTGTTGGTTTTGGCTTGCTGTCTAAGTAATTAGACATGTGATTTGTGTGTATCAAGTGAATAATAATCTGCTCAAAAGTGTTTATTTATTCAAGTTAAACAAATGAATCAATGTATAGTGAAGTATTGAATTGACAAGATTGCATTCTTCATCTGCTCAAAAGTGTGATTTATGAAGTTTTGTATGTAAATTATGCCCTATGTATTTAAATTTCTTGTTGGCTATGAAAATCTAGTATAAATGGTTTCTGTCCAAATGCTATGATACTATTTGTTTTACGATTATTTGTTAATATGGAAAATTAGAATTATGTGTGTCCAAATCTTTTCTTCTTTGTTGGAAAAGATTATGTTACCTTCTAACTTAATGACTAACAACTATAAAAATTAACATTTGGTTTCGCGGCTCCTCACATGACATCCCTCAATTTCAACAATATTGAGACTTTGACTCGTTCTAACTACAACAAGTGGAAGGAGGATGTTGAAATGGTTCTTGGCCTTATGGATCTTGATTTGGCATTAAGAGAGGAAAAACCTACAGCTATTACTGTAGAGAGCACTGCAGATCATAAGGCAAAGTTTGAAAATTGGGAGAGAACATACTAAATGTCATTGATGATTATGAGGAAGGCTTTGGCTTCATCAGTTAAAGGGGGTGTTCTAAAACAAGACAATGCAAAAGACTTCTTGGCTGCAGTTAGGGAAAAGTTTAAAGAATCTGACAAGGCTGAAACTAGGACTTTTCTCACTCAAATTACTTCTATGAAATTTCATGGTG